TGATGCCGGAGTTGTGAGAGAGTTACTAGGAGGTTGAATAGGTTTGACATGCCGCACTGTGTGCTTCAAGCGATGCCACACTGTCGGCCATGGAGCGATAGTACAGGTGGCCTGGTTCAACACAGAAGGGACTTGATGCAGGTGCTATATAGTTTGGTGTGACGGTCAAATCAAATCGATTCTTTTAAGATGCAAAGACTTGGAATTCAGATGCTGAATCGGTTTATGTACTGAGTTTTATGCTTTAATGGACTCAGACATAAGCCACTCCAGGCTGGAGTTGCCCAAGTTCTATCGAGTGGTGCAGTTCAGGGGGAAAGTCTGATGCTTAGACCGTTTGGACATGCTTTGCGCACTTACCTGGGAGAAGACAGAGTCAGTCAGGAAACCTACGACAGAGTCAGGAAACGGTGAGTCAGGAAACCTGAATGTCATCATCCACAGTTACCTTGGCCTTCTCCATTCTTCTATATAAGCTGGCTGAACCTGTTGCCCTGCCCCATCGACTTCTCTCATCGGCTGGCACAGCTCCATGCAGCGGAAAATCATGGCACACGATGCGGCACTGTGCTAGTAGCGTCCTAGTAGCGTCCTTGCTCCTAGCAGTAAGGTCAGCCTAGTAGCGTCCTTGCTCCTAGTAGCGATGCCAGGAGCCCCTAGTAGCAAAACCTAAGATTTCTGTAATCCTTTGTCCTTTGTTGTTGGCAGGCAATGGCTTTGCCTGAGGGCCGCTTGGTTCCTTGGAAAGGCTGGCCTTTTCCCGAAATAGCACTTGCCAGAACTCCGAAGAGTTGCCAAGTTGAGTGCTGCGAATCACTGGCAGAGATCATCCTTTTGGGGCTTGTGCACAGACATTTGTGTTTGCGATGACACTGCAAAGGCTGTGTGACAGTATTTCCGGCAAGTCTCTAGAAGGAACAGCTTCAAACGACAGGAGAGACCCTCGCAGTTCTTTCCCGTCACCCTCTCTCCAGGCTATGCCGAGCGATTGGCACATGGAACGGAAGAAGGCGGGTGTGGGACATAGACGATCAAAGACCAAACCTTACCCCAAGAAAGTGTGTGGGTATTATTCTTGATATTTATTGGCGCTCTTCTCGGTAGTTTGGTCAGCTGGAATTAGATGCACAGAGAGTGAGAGATGAAGGGAGGGCACACTTGCTAAAGCGGCATTCTGTGTTATGTGGAAAGTGCAACCTGGGCTGGTCGAAGCGGATGGATCAGGCAATACTTTGTGCTGTTCTCACAGCTGGAGCGTTTGGCGCTGTGAGATTTGGACTGAAGGACAGCAGAGTAGCAGGTCCTTGTGCCAGAGTGCCAGAGAGCAGGTTGCAAAGCATTGCAAGCTTCCTTGCAAACCTCCTAAACATCAAGGAACCAAATGAATAGTGTGAGCTATCCTGCGTCCAAGGTAGTAGCATTCTTGTAGTGAAATATCTTGATATGTACTGACATGTGCTGAGTGGTTGATTGGGCAGCACAGTGGCTCGAATGCCAATTTTTCAAACTGAGCTGAAGGTGCTCGAACAAATCTCGTTGCCGTGCCCGGCAATGGTTGCGCTGGGAGTGCTAGAACAAATCTCGTTGCCGTGCC